ACGTAAATAAAAATATGCATGACAACTAAGAATGTCGTAGTATTTGATAGTCGTACAACGTAAATAAAAATATGCATGACAACTAAGAATGTCGTGGTTGCGGTAGGGCGTGCGCCTCACCTCTGGAATCTTGGATTTGATTCTTGGACTCGCCATCACGTAATATGTCAGTGGAGGTAGTTAGGCTAAAGTTAAACGTCAAAATTCACATGAGCCGAACCTAATGACATCAAAGAAGACCGCCTTGTTATCCATTGTTTCAATTAGCTCATGTGAAGTTTGACGTTTGACCTGAGCCTCGGTCTATCCCTCGATACGAAGGTTTTTCTCCGGTTTTTCTTCTCTGCAAAACTTAACACGCTAAAGACATGTCAGAATGTTATTCAATCTTGCGGTAAAACTAATAGTTCTATCGTCTTCAAGTAAACAATTTACATTGTTAAACATTTTACTTTGAAGGAAAAGGACATGTCTGCCTTTATTGCATCTATCCTGTACGAGTGCATAACTGAAGAGAAACCAAATGCTATCAAGCTCTACCTCTCGATGAACAAGGTACATTTACCTCTCCTAACGCCAGTTTGCTGATCGAATTGCCCCTTTTATTTGTAACATCTTTTCGTTATACATCACTTTTCTTATACATCCTTCCTATCTCACTCTATTCTACCCTACCCCTTCCTACCCAATCCCATCCTATCCCATCGCATTCTACCCCATCCCATCCTATCCCATCCTATCCCAATGCATTCTAACCCACCCTATCCCATCGCATCCTACCCCATCCCATCCTATCACTTTTCTTATACATCCTTCGCATTCTACCCCATCCTATCCCATCGCATCCTACCCCATCCCATCCTATCCCATTACATTCTACCCCATCCCATCCTATCCCATCGCATTCTACCCCATCCTATCCCATCGCATCCTACTCCATCCCATCCTACCCCGCCTCATCCTATCCCATCGTATCTTATCCTATCCCATCCTATCCCATCTCATCGCATACTATCATGTCATGACATATCATAAAGAGAAAAAAACGCGCGCGCGTGCTGTGTGTAGTTATAAAGCACGCGGAGATCGGCAAAACACAGGAAAATGTTGCGAAATAAACGAATTGTCATTGTTTACGAGGGTAGCACTTAATAGCCAGTGGCTAACAAACCTGTGGCCCTTGATCCATGATCGAATATGAGATCTAGAAGTTCATTGTTGCGAAGGGAGGAAAACAATCTTATCCATTCTTAACCATTCCGTCCATCCCATCCTAAACTACCCTAATCAGAATCTACCCTACCACATTCATACCAATCTATTCATGTTTTATTTTGGTTGTTCCAGGCTGTGGAAGATATTAACCATCTAGACCCCATTGAACTGTGGGAAGTCAAGCTTGCATTGACCTTTTACTTGCAAGCATTTAAGAGAATATGTCAGTGCACAGGTTCACGGCTCAAGGTATACGGAGTCATATCACTTTTAATCATTTTAGTCACCGATCTTATAGCAAATTTATCGTAGATATGATCGTGTAGTTAAATTTCGATTTTTTGTTTAACTCGAGCAAATTTTTTCTCTTTCTCCTGGCAGCCTTTGTTGAGCCTGGATTTTCTGACGCAGTGCAAAGTCTTTGTAGACAACGCTTTGGATGAATCGATTGCCAAAAGTAAGTAGATATTAAGGAAAATTTTGGCCTATAACAGTAGCTTTTCCAAATACACATATGCGACCTATCTTATATCAGGTAGCAATGTGGGGATCAGATTTATTCAAGAGACCATAGTCTCTTGATTTATGAGACCAACAAACAACTCTAGACCAGCTAACAAACTGTAAATCGGTAATGACTCACCTAATGAAAACATGCACAAGGTAGTAAATGAACAAGGCCACCCTCGACGACTACATTCCATGCCGCGAAACCCCAACTACACACCCAGTGATATCCAGGGATGTGGTTGGTTCGAATCATACTGGGATTTTTCATACGCAATCTGCGTTGATCTACTCATCACCTCAAAATCCGGACTACCCATCAAACGGCAATTAGCCATTCCGAGGATGAGACAAAAACTTGGTCGAGTTAGCATTCCAGTGCATTTTCGGGCTGTTGTAGGAGACATATTTCCAAGATGGCGTCTATTTCTTCCCCTAAAACAGCCCTAAAATACGCTGCAATGCTAACTTGACACAGGTTTTCTCTCAACCTCAACTAATCAATTTTTTTCAGCATCAACATCACTACTTACGTGTTTAACATCACGTAATCACTATCAGAAGTTCTGTGCTGAGTTAGCAGGGTTCGGTGTTCATCATGGGCTTCCTTTGCCATATCAACTACCAAAAGACTTGTTACACGGTAAACCATCTAATAACATAAAATATATCTATGTCAGGGGTATTTAGATAATTTTCGTTCTGATGATATCGATGGACACGTTTCAAAAGGCGAGCCTACATTCCTTCTTTCAGTCCAGTGTAGACCCGTCATGGGGTGTTGCGTGATCATTGTGGTAAACTTTTATTTAAAATAATCATTGTCATTCGTTTCGTCTCGTGTTTTTGTTTTCAAGGTATGCCTACGCAATCCACCAAAATTAACTTTTTGATAAACCCAAACCAAACATCATTCCTATCAGCAAACGTTAAGAGTTTCCCGCCATAACCACAGGAATCCCGCATGAATTAATAAAATTTCGGTACGAGATACGAGGTACAAAACAGAAAGAAAAACTATCAAATCATTGGAAATCATTTTTATTATCTCACATCGAAAAAAAGAAGAAGGAAAAAAAACTGTTTGATATGTACATTGTCATCTTTATACAGTACGTAGATTCCATTACTTTACATATTCATCTATTTCCAGGTGTACAATCTCTGCCTGCCATTGAAGGACTGACATCTTGTGATGTTCCTCTATCGGTCTCATCACTGGTTAGATTACGAACACGATGATAATATCTAAAGAATGACATAAACATTAAATGACTCACCCACCCTACCCTAGTCAATGTACATGAAAGGGCTTGAGTACGAATCAAATCAGACATGCGTACAACGATTAGTATTTTCGCGCCATTTTTGATCGAGTGTTCCAAGATGGCTGACCCTCTGAGGAAGAAAATCCTGTCGATATTCAGATTAAATGGCCTCTCGCTGAAAAGTGAAGCTACAAAATTCCTCAGGGATGTCCTCTCTCCTTTATCTGAACCTGAAGTAGATGAATGGTTGGAGAAAATAGTGGAAACCGTTCAAAGTCAGCCTTTAGGTTCGTCACTGGTTGATCGAGACACGATTGAAACGGCGGTACAAGAATGTAGTAAGGATCCATCAGAAGACAGCGATAAAGCATTCTGTATCATCGATGCCTTCAGCACGCCGAAATTCTCGTTCAGTGTGGATAGGAAAAAGTTTTTCCCCGTATCAGGCAAAGCATCGCTTCATCCTGTTACTGATATCAAATCTATGTTGTTCGCTGAACGATACACTGTGATACAGCAAAGGACCTCAAGACATGAGTTATTCTCCAACGTGGCCGAGTTAGAAGCAGTAAAACAGAATCAGAACTCCGAAAGATTTGATTTAAAAACCGTGGAATTCTTAATCGGCAGTACAGGGTGTTTAAAACAAATCATTGTACTTGGAATGTTGAGTCAAATCAAAGAGGGCAAATTTTACTTAGAGGACCCCACAGGGGCAGTGGAGTTGGACATGAGCCAAGCAAAGTTCCATACAGGACTCTATACAGAAAGTTGTTTTGTTTTAGCCGAGGGTACATATGATGATGATATATTTCATGTTGCTGCCATGGGGTTCCCACCTGCCGAGCCTAGTAAGATTACAAGGAACCAGTTTGGAAGTATTAACTTCTTTGGAGGGCCATCCCAAACATGTGCCAAAGCATCCAGCAAGCTGAAAGATATGGAGAAAGAAAATACTGATGCTATGTTTGTGATTTTGTCTGATGTATTCCTTGATCAACCAAGGGTCGTGGACAAGCTACGTACCATGTTCACTGGGTATTCTACAATGCCCCCATCCTTGTTCATTCTCTGTGGGAATTTTAATTCCCAGCCTTATGGGCCTAAGCAGTATAAAGCAATAAAAGAATCATTCCAAGCATTTGCTAGTTTGGTGTCAGAATTCCCATCCTTACTTGAGTCAACTCGATTCGTGTTTGTTCCTGGACCTCAAGATCCTGGACCAGGAAATATCATTCCAAGACCTCCCATTCCAGAAAGCCTAGTTAAAGTTGTTACCGAGAAGATTCCACTGGCCTCATTCACGTCAAATCCTTGCAGGATACAATACTGTACACAAGAGATTATAATCTTCCGTGAAGACCTTATAAACAAGATGTGTCGCAATGCAATTCATATACCAACAGACCCTAAAGACATTCCTAATGAGTTACTCAAGACTATTCTTGCTCAGGCCCACTTGTGTCCTCTACCACTTCATACTAGACCTATTTACTGGGGATATGACAGTTCCTTAAGGGCTTATCCTGTGCCAGACTTGCTTGTTTTAGCTGATAGACATGATCCTTATACTTGTACAGCATTAGACTGTTCAGCTACGAACCCAGGCTCATTTTCCAAAAATGATTTTTCATTCAAAGTGTACTGGCCTCCAACTAATGAGGTAGAGGACTGTAAGATCGCTGACTGATATACATCACTATTCTATATCATAAGAAACAGAATCTGAATTCATTTTGAGATTTGAAATTAGAAATTTTAAACTAATAAGGGTGATAATAATAATAAATTTCAGGTCTTTATAGTTTCATAGTTAACAGATTTTTCCATGTCTGGTCTTCTAACACAAATACCTTGGTGTGGGGACCCACATGTATGACTATTATGAAGGATTTTTAGAATGGAGTGTATGATAGTCAAATGCAAAAATATAAGATCACTGTAAAAAAAAATTATAGTTTGTAAATATATAATTATTTTTGCGTATTCCAATAAACTGTTAAACTGTATTTAATGCCTTGAAACATTTCTTGTGCCTTCTCAATGCAAATTGGGGACATAATATGTTACTGGAGAAATGGAAATTAATGGAATTCATAATGAAAATGTCAATATGTATGGGTAATGCTGATGTGCTGCTATTAAATGCACCAGCTATCAGTATTGTGGTAACAGGTTTGATCGTTAAACCGTAAAGTGAGTCACTAGTTTCTTTCCTGTGCTTCCTAGTTGATCAGCTACCCAGATGAACATGTCAGCTTTCACTTGTATTCTGTAGACATCTATTCTGTATTGTATTCTGACTCTGTTGTGATCATCGTACACAAGAAAACAGCAAAAGATAAAAATAAAAAATTTCCTAAGAAAGATGGGGGTATAATTTTTATGTAAAAATGTTAAAATACTCTGTTATGATTGTCGTAAATGAGACATCAAAAAAATATTTTCTATTTAAAGGAAGATGGGGTACAAATTTTTGAAATGTTAAAATACAAAAACTGGTTTCATTATTGAATAATATATGTCCAAGTGAACATAAGGTCTTTTAGATAACAGCTGGACTACTTATAGGATTTTAGATAGTGCTGCCTTACATGATAGAGTTATCAAATATTTGAAATGTTTTCTATGAAAAAAATAAGTACAATTTTCCTAAACGTGTAATTTTTGCGATATTCTGTTAATGTTTATTTATATTGTCGTTTCGTCATCGTATGACGTCATGAACATACGTAAACATGAAAGTATTACCAATCTGTTAAATGTATTAAGGCTGAAACCTCTCTAAATACCAAGAAACTGTTAAACCATTTTAAAGCAAAATGGGGACCATCAAGTCAGGATGGCTACAAAAGCTAAGTAAGTAGTGAACAAGTTCCGTAGTGAATCTGCTTGAAACGTCCTACGCTTGTTTAGTTCAACTATCTTGACCATCTCGTACTTGACGCTTCCTAATGACATGTTCTTTGTCGATCTTTCTCAGGTGGGTTTTTCAAAAACACTTGGAAGAAGAGATATTTCGTTTTATATCAAAGTGGCGACTTTTGCTATTACCAAGATCCACACGACAAAGAAGTGGATGGAAAGATTAACATGAAAACAGAATGTCGTCACATAGCAGTCGGACATTCTGTTGGCGAAGGAGTAAAGGCACCAAAAGATGTCGATGCTCTCTTTAGCGTAGTTTCTACCGAAAGAACGTTTTATTTAGTAGCTGATTCAGCAAGTGAAGCAAGGTTGGTGTTTATTTTTTCATTAGCTTTCCATTAACTATCGTTCAATGACTACAGCAACAAACTAAGATTTCACGAAGGTCGCAAACGTATACGATTACAGCTGCAGCCTGCTTGCATATACGTGAAGACAATTTGTAATCGGTCTCCTTACTCGAATATTATTTTAAGGATTGTGTAGCCGGTTTTGTTATTCTTACGGTAAATCTATAAACCCAAACGTATTTCATCGTTAAATCCAAATATATGTTATGTTACTATCTAAATCTCGCTTTGATTGATATTTTACAGGGAATGGGTGACTGCATTAGAACAAGCTAGAGCCCCAGTAAGTACAATAATGCCTAGTTCTTCAATGCACATCATACTGCATTACATATAGCAAGTGTTGTGGTCTAGTACTATGTAAATTTAGCATATCTCAATATGCTTAGATTTTTTTTTGGACATGCAAACATCCGCCATTTTGTTTCTTAAACTAGTAACCTGAACAAAATGACTGAACAACCAGGAATTAAAAATTCATATCTTTGGACCAACTCATGCAGTCTTCATTTGAATTGCAGTTTTGAACTTTTCTTATTATAACATCTCTCCAGTGCATGAAATAAAATTTTCATGGTGTAAAGTTGAATTTTTCTCAACATGTTGATGACATCATTTTCCCTCCAATTTTATGGAAAACATATAAAAAGATACCATTTCCAAGACTATTTTGTTTTTCTTTTTGGCCAAGTTTCATTATCTTTGGCTTTGAAGCAGAAAAGTTATTACCCTGCTGGCAGAGTCTCCTTTTATTTTCTTAAAAGGATACTCAGGGTCTTTAGTGTGCCCAGCGTGACAAAACTACTGTCAGATGATAACATCTTGAACCTGAACCTCATATAGCTGGTACAACATGTTCGAGATTTCCATGTTAAATTTCACAAGAAAACCATTATCATGCGAAGATATGAGGGTTAAAAAAGGTCCTGTAGTATCTCAGCATGGAAACGAGACTTAATTTCAGTGGAATAAGTGGAATAAAGGGGATTTTAAGAGATGTAACCTGGTTTCCATGCTGAGATACTATAGAAAGTTTTTCAAAACTCCCTAAAACACATCGGTGCAAGATCTATAGATGCTTGCTTGATAGTGGCTTGTCCCAGCACTAATGAAAAAAGATTGGAAAAAGACTTATTCAAAAGATTTTTATGATTTAAAAGACCAAAAAACCAGTGTAGGCTTCCTTTATTTTCTTGTGATTCAGCTTTTCAAAAGTCCTCAATTTTCTTCTGAGTGTAGTTCCAGAAATTATCCATACCTGCACAGAGGAATTTTTTTAAAGACCCCCCTACCCCCAGATATTCCAATTTTCTTCCATACAACTCTAAAATTTTGTTTTATTTCTGACCCCCCCCCCCTACCCCTCAGAAATTTCAAATTCCTTTGTGGGGTAGTCTCCTTCACAGCCCTCATTGGCTTCGGTCCCAGATTATCTAGGACCGAAACTAATGATGGCTCAGGAGGATCTATGATGCTGTGAAGGAGACTATCTGTAGGGGTATGAATAATTTCTGGAACTACACAATTTTCAAAAACATGTATTTTTGTATGTAGTTTTCTTCCTTCATTTTCACGTTTATTTGGTGTTTTGATCGAAGGAAAAGAATGAACAAACATTAAATTTTAACGTGGTTTCCCACATTTTTCATGTGATTCCGCTTGTATAAGCCACCTCTAGCAAATCAGCGTACACATTTAAGATGAGCTTTGGGATTCTATCAGAAATTGAGATGAGTGAGACTATCTAAAACTTTGTTGAGCATATTCCAGGTGACTGATTTGACCAGCTTTACCTTATCGTAAGCAGCTTGTGAAACTGACCTATCCACTCATTGCTGGGATAAATAAGAAACTGAATGTACTATTAGTAATTTCTTTTAATAATGTTTCAGATATCATATGGAGCCAACTTCAGCACAGGACAAGCCCCACAGCAAGCACCTTACGGCTATAACTCCCATCCCTCAGCACCAGGTAGGTTTAGTAACCTCACTCTATCCACCTCACAACAACCACCTCACTCCATCCAGTAGGAAGAAGGAAGGGGGATGGATGAGAAAATACTGGGAACTCGTCCTTTTTTTTTCCAATTTAGAAAGGGAAAGGGATTTTAAAAAATTAGGCTAAGAAGTTGACAGATCCTAACTAGTTATTGCTATTAAAAATATTTATTGTTAAATATTACCGTCTCCTTTTTGCACAGTTGGACCTCCACCTCCTTACAGTCAAGCTGCACCATATCCAATGCCAAACCCCCAAAGCGCATACCCACCACCAGGTCAACCCTACCCACCACAACCACATTATCCACAATACCCACAACAAGGCTACCCACCGCAACCATACCCACAACAGCCACCACCACCAGGATATTCTGCACCTCCACCAGCAGCATACCCACAGCCATATTATCAACCAGGTACTACAGGCTATGCCCGAGGACCAGCACCACAGACAGTATATGTTCAAAACCCCAACCAAGGGCATAAGAGTAGTCGAAATAAGATGATGATGGGAGCTGGTGCTGGTGCTTTGGGTGGTGCAGCAATGGGATACATGTTGGGTAGAGCTACAGGGGGCTTTGGCCATGGGTGTCATGGCTATGGAGGATGGGACTCGGATCATTCCTGGTCATCAGGAGGGAGCTTTGATTGTGACTTTGACTGAAACAGTCAATTACTAAATACACTAATAGAATAATGCAGGGCTTAAAATAACGGCCAATCATTCACTGGTCATGAACACAGGACAAAATTAGTTTTAGCTTGCTGGTCAAAATGAACAGCAAGGCAAAGATTTGACAGCTGACAAGTCCCACTTCTGGCCCAATATTGTCTGATATCTAGCCATTATTGTAAGCCCTGATAATGTAAGAATTTTGTGGGTAGGATAAAATATAAAACCAATTTTTTTTAACCTGTGAAATAAAATCCGGTAGTCTTGGTTTAAAAGTTAAAAGAAAGCAAAAAAATACAACATAAGACAAATGCAAGGTGTCTATTTCACAGGTTAGATAAAATTAATGTATGATAAGGTACTGAAGTGTGACATCATCAAATTCCAAACTTTGCAAATGTTGTACTATGCCAACTGTTGCAAGTTAGAAATGGACTATTGGACATTTAATCTCCAAAATCCCTATACATTTTCTGTGATTTTGCACTGGACAGAACTAATTCCTTTACAACCAGCACCAAATAAAAGAAGATGTATGGGTAATATTTTTACATTAAATTACCTATGTCTCAGCTGTTTTTTTTTTTTTTTTTTCCACAACCAAGGCCACCAAGACAAATTTTTTACAAATAATTAGCCAAACGATGATTAAGCATTAAGAGAGAATTCTTTTTGTATTCAAGCAGTGTGAGCATGAAAAACTATTTTCTTGAAGAACAGAAAGGCTGTTGTACAAGGCTAAAATCTTGTTATTCAGAAAGTTT